TCAACATAATTCAGAAAATAAACACATAATTAATATACATATAGGGGTACTCCCCTATATTTGCTATACAGGTATGTGCTGCTCGACAAGGTTGCAAGTCTGGGGTAGTGTATCATTTTTTGCCCATTTGTCTGGGATATGGTAGTCTTTTTGTCTGGGATAGGGTAGTAGTTTTGTCTGGGATAGAATAGTTTTTGTCTAGGATAGGGTATACAGTAGTCTCATTGTCTGGGGAGTTTTGCCTGTGATCGTAGTGCTAGGCCACGCTTTCAGCGCTAAAATAATGTACCTTTGTACCTTTAGTCTAGGGTAGGATATGTAAAATCGCAAAAATTGGTCTGGGATAGGGTAAGGGTTTTGAGGTAGTTTTAAGGTTGGAGTTTATTTTGATAACTTGTCCTCAACCCAAACCCTTCCCTTCTTTTCTGAAGAGTACTAACCTGAAGTTGTTCCATTGAACATGAAAACTGAACATCCTTACCAGATGCACATCCACTTTGCTAGTTTTTAGAAAAATAATTAACATAGATGTCTCAAAACATACTAGTSTGCAGTTGTGAATGAGCAGTATTAAAACATTTGTATGCATTTGTACAGTAAATATTGGATTGTAAAGTAAAAAACATTCAATTACCTCTGTCTTAAGTGTAATAAGATATGTAGGTTTATTAACTTTGTCCATATGATTATTCTGAAATAAAGTACCCTCTGTTACAGACCATCACAATATCAGACAATATATTACCAACTAGTATGACATATTATTGCAGCGCACTCACTGCATGTACCATAGGTCATTTTTACAAATTCAAATAATTCAGTAACTTTGAATATACATGTATACCTTGATATAATAGTCCAGTCGCCAATCAACATCAACTACATGTGGATGAGAACTGCCAGTACTACGGGATATTAAATGTGATTTAACCTTATGCAAGTATCAAGTCAATATTTTAAAGCATTCTTTGATATAATTGACTATTTTTAGCTTTTTTTTCCAAAGGTTCATGATATTTTGTTCAAGGCATCAGATCTRTCAAGATACTACATGTATTTGTTAAATCGTAGCCTGAAGAAGGAGATTTTGAAGTTCTATCTATTTTGAAGTTTTATCATATAGTTTACCTGCTCAGCATGGCCTCTACTTCTAGTTTTTTCTCCTGAACATAATAAAAATATTCCTTGTTTTAATCTTCATAATTTTTGTGCTACAAGATATATATGCCACTCAATGCCCTAGACTTCTAAAACATTTGCACACAAAGGATATACCTCATAAACCTTTGAAAAGTATTCAATCCTATCTGTGCTCCATTTGCTATCCTCTAGTGTAGAGCTGTTGAATGGAGATTAAAGGCAGTGAATTTTATATTTTTTTCTTCTAGTTTACCTTTTAATCTAAAAAATAAAGAACTGGCCAGCTTCAATGGAGGACTATGAAGAGACAACTGACAACATGTACTAATACTCCAGTTTCGAGATCTTATTTGTGCAGCCTTACCCTCAAAAGCATGTAAATTATTTAAGGCAGTGTCACACTAGCGTTTTTTTCGTGCAGCTTGTGTCGCGCGAAAAAATGTTGTAAGTTGCACGAGTGTTTTTTACGTGTGACACCCCCTCGTGCAACTTGAACATTTCATTTTTTTGTTGAGAGAAAAGTAGAACTGGCTTCTACTTTTTTCAACAYTTTTCGGAAAAACGCGTGTGTGACATGGTCTCTTGCGACTTCCAAAATTTTCAATGAAACAATTAAGTCATACCTCATAGTTGCATTGTCACAGTCTATCTTCACACTTTCCAAAACAAGTGTCACCAAACTTGTGTACATTTGTTTTAGCGAAGGAACATCAACTTTTGTTAAATCATCACTCCCTATAACAGAGAAATTATCACAGAAAKATCTCAAGGTTAAATACACTAATAAGACTTTGAATAATGCATAATGCTACATGTAGTTAATGTAGCTGTACATCGCTGGAATGATGGATGACATTTCATACTGGGAAATAACACTTGTTGTCCAAAAACGACTTGGACATAAAAATCAATCAATTGCAATTTATAGTAGAAATATATTGTCATTAACCCTACAAGAAAGTTATTTAAATGATGCAAACACAACTTTAAGTGTTTGTGTCATTCCTATGGGTTGCAATAGGATTTTGACCCCAGGTTCAAAAGCTTAAAGCAAGTTGTACAGTATGCATGCTACTTTTAAAAGCTTAAGTTGTATATGAGCCATGAATTTACAGGGTACGATTATTTCATACATGTCAAGTACAAGTCGTATCTTGTAAATATATCACATTCAAAATGCACAGTATCGTTTAACTATGGCAGTGCATATTAAGCTTATTACATCATATGCGAATGCTGAATGCTGTCATGTTCTGTCATGACAACTTGAAGTAAACTTGGCTGTGTTATGTCGATTCATATGAACAACAAMAAAGCAAGGAAAAAWAGTTWMAGTTATTCATATCAATKTACCAATTCAGATTTCCAAAATGTACTGTTAAACKTTTGAATACCTGAAAGAGCATTTTCATCTTTATGTCGAAGAAGAATATCGAAAACTTCTCTGACCAGCACCCTAAAACTGCGATCTCCAAGTTTTGAAGACTCTCCACACATACTGAGACCTTCTATAACCAAACTAGATAACTCCATGTTATATATTTTACAGCAATAAAGTATAATCTTACAGAGAAAACTACAAGTGGAAGTTTACAACTCTCTTCCGTCCGCCATCTTGATAATCGATATTTCGGCCTCAGTCCCCTTCAGTTCTAAACGGTTTGGAACGCCTGACGGTTTCTGCAGTGAGTATGGCAAACTTCGTAAGTAATACTATTCGTGGATGTATCCGAATAAATGGGATTCGCCAGGTAATTTTGATGTTTAGTAAGCTTCATGATACTTATAAGTTAGTTTTAATGAAGGATGCAATCTTTTTCCATGTACTAGACCATGTTYACAGTGCGTRCTTTGAGTCAWRGTGTCTGCGTTGTTGCTGCTAAAGCTCCTTCTCAAGTAGAACTGAAAGCATCAAAAAGATATTCTTGGTGTGCRTGTGGTCTTAGTAAGAAGCAGGTATCTACAGATAATTTAGCAGGCAATATAGACTTCTATTTAGATCAAGCCTCACTCAGCACGGGTGCCCATTTYTTGCAGTGGCTTTTTTGGTCTTGATTTGCTYTGCTGTCCGCTCAAAACATCRGTAATAACAGTCACTAAYAATCTCCCCTTTGCTGGAGAAATASTCTTTGGACTGTAMTCTTTTGGATTRACCTTCTGAGTATGATTTAGATAGATTCTTGCACACACATATAAGTTTTGTTGTATGTGTCCCATATATGGTAAAAGTCCTTATAAGTGTTTAGTAGTACATGTACCTAACAAGTGAATAGTGAATCCTAAGGGATACAAATTTAGCTGATATTTGCAATGTAGAATATTTGTTAAATGTTGCAAAAATATTTGGCTTAATAGAAGCATATTAAACACTTGTGGTCTAGTTGGTTAAAGCGCAATGCAATTGTAATTCCAGTCGTATTAATAGATTCAAGCAGAAGACTGGGAAGGCTATGATATCAAACTCATCATTCCAAATACTAATTTTATATCTCAAAAAGGATTACAAGGTCAAGAAATGTGAATGCTGTTCTTATTTGAAAATGAAAAGAAAGAAAAATACAAGTCCTAAAAATTAGRGGCTGCTGTTCACTTGTTAGATATGTAAYACAATAGACCCACTATCACATGAATATTAATATTGGGATACCTGTGTCAGCATTGATACAGGGATCCCAAAGCTTCTAGAATCTTGTGAAGTTGAAATTTGAGCTCCCATCAATGGAAACAGTAACAATATATGTATCAAATTATTGTCATCATTCTAACCAATACAAACATTTATTACTTTAGCAGTATATAATACACATCAACTATCTTAACCAAACCGTATTCTTTGACATAACTGCTTYATTGCTTCACATATTTATAGAAAACATTACCAGCTACAGAACAAAATCTAATTCATTTATCAGCTTCATTGTTTTATTGCTTTAACCCCTAACATTAAATGATGTTTACTTTGCACAAATGAAYATCAAAAGATGTAACAGTCCTAACTGCAAAACTTGTTTATCAATTTTTAGCCATTTTGTGATGGAAGTCACAAGGGTTCAGGTTTAAGTCCTGTTCGTTTTAGACAAGAAGAAGACTTACCAGAAGCATTTCTCTGTTGCTGCAAACAGACGTCAACACCTCCCTTCTGTGATGGTACTCATGTATCTGAAAATGTTCAAAATGCTGAGATAGGGAAACCACTGTAAAGGCATGAGTCATTTGAATAAGTACATAAKTAGAATTGCTTTTAAATTACTTCAATTTTGATTATAATACAAAATTTGTTATGTTTTTATTTTTTCAATATTGAGCAAGGATGAACAGACATCCGAATCCACCACATCCCTTAAGTCCTGTTGTTTTTTGTTTTTTTTTCTCTTTTTCCTAGATGGAATTTCTCATGCTCTCATTTCATAATTTTTGGAATTCTCTCTCATCAGGTGTTTGATTCGCTGTCTTTTGCTTGTCTTGTCGCCTCCATTATAGTTTTTAACATTGATAAAATCAGTTTAAAAGAAAATGCGTTGATACTCAGTCTTCCATGGTATGAAATCAATATTTTCAAATATTTCTAGATATTTTAGTTATCTTTTTAGTTTATCAACCATAGTTAACTACTAACTATACTTCAACTGATAATGGCCATAATCGTAACAGGAATTACGTGCATTTGTTGCGGTTGAATTGGACACACGTTTCGCTTACAACATAATCATACTTCATAATTTCCACTYMTTACACGCGAACTTTCTTTTGCTCGTTTTAATTAMTGTKAACCATATTAATAATTACTGTTACTTAGTCAAATTTAAACTTACGCGCACAGATGTTTACTCAAATCCGTAAAAACCGCACATTAGTTGTACATTTATCGTTGCGTTTACGTAATATCACGGATCATTGCTTGCATGATAATCATACATTCACGCAATAAGCGTTTCTTTTGAATTGCATTATTGCAGTGCATATAAAAAACGCACGTCTTTTCCGGTAATTTTCGGCTTGAAACTTAAACAGATCAAGGTTTTTAAAAATCCGCTTGCTCCTACTCTTGTTTCAAGTTACGGGTCACATGACTGTAAACAGTCTCAAGTACAATTTAAAGGGTTCTTATCGGAGATAATGTACGATTTGCATCCAGTTATGTCAAGACCGATGTCAAATATCATATCCTTAACTTGATTAGAACTCTTTAAAGACTCGAGAGTGTCAACAAACAACTCAAATTATGCTTTCAAGACGGGTTGGAGTTAAATTGAGCTCAATTTCTTCGCGCGGAAAAAAACTAAAAAAATGCCAACAAGGGGACTGCAAGATCAGAACTTTATCGTAGGATCGAACTTAAGGAGTTTGTTATCAAAGGGCTTGGCCTTATCAGTCAGCCAATCAGGCACGCGTACCCTTCTAAGTACGGGTCACTCTCTTCATATTCCCCTAACTCATAAGACACGTGGAGAACTGTGCARTGCGGCAACCATCAGSGCGTTTTTTCGTATGATTAATCCTTTGCAAATGTTTTTATTGATTTTATTCGATATATAAAAATGTTATAACTACATGTGTTTACTATCATTACAATGTGCAGCATATTTCTGTATAATTTTCGATAAACATATCAGATGTGTATATGTTTTTTCAATCGAAATTGATGTCAATATGATTTTAATTACAAGAAGTTAATTGCTATTTACGAATTTTGTTTTGTTTTGGGATATGCTCAAGTGTTGTAGCGAGTGATTTGCACTTTGTTTTTCAAAGTATTTAATCCCAAAAAGGTCGACCAGCTGAAAAAGACTACCTATTTTCATACATTAGAGTTCAAGCATTAAAAGTTTGAAACATAATTGCCACTAAATACTGCAAAATTATGCTAATTCTATTATTTTCTATTGTTTAATTGACACTATTCAGAAAGAAGCAGTAGTGCAAAGTGTTCCATACTTCTTGTACCGTTTCCGAATATTTATTACTATTTAATATCAAGAATTTTCAAAGTACTTTCATGATTAAAAGCACTGTAATCTATCAATTGCCTGTATAAAGTACGCTGTATATTCTGTAAGATTTATGCTTCTGTTATGCCCTAAACAACTATATTGCAAGCAAAATGTTCAGTCCTTAATTTAAAACTCAAGTCGAGTGCGTTCCTCTACGAAGGCTCGCAAATTTCCTATATTTAAAAATCCTTTTTGTCAAATTTTTAAATATATCCTATTTGTTATTTAAAATGTTCTAATTTTCTTTTAAAAAATGCTATGTTTTTCAATTCTATTCACTACCATGCATGCACAGTAAAATGCAAAGCTTTTCCATCCATGTGGTACTTTTATGTATTCATAGAATACCTTGGTATATAGCATTTATGAGCTTTACGAATATACTGATTGTGGAATTCATTTAAAGCTGCTTTCTTGTTTCTTAAGGTACCTAGTCTAACCCATATTATAATTGTTATTAGTCATATGTATTAAAATAATCTTTCGACTTCTACGTCAAAAATCCGACGTTTTTTTTATATAAAAATATTTGCTTCATTTCTATAAATACAAGCCTTTTGTGCTGTCACAATCCATGGCGTGCCTTTCATGAATAAAATGCTTGGTCATCCCAAAACAAGTCTTCGATGTTGAACCCTAACAAAAGGAAACAAAAAACAACATCAGCTAAAATCTGCAGATGCAGCGCTTTTGCTATGGACTATTCATGTGTTGTGTTCAATGGAATATTATGCCAATGAGGTGTTTTTTAGCTTACCGTAGATATCAGGCAAAGGATCAATATCAAAATGCAGGTCTGTTATATCAAAGTCGGATGTAAAGTCCTCAAAATCGAGTTCGTCGCTTGTAGACTCGCTGGAAGTTGATTGCGGTTTTTCTGTGGTTTGTAAGATGTCGGTTAGGTGTCCAATGTACTCTGCGGCCAATCTCACAGTGTCTGTTTTTGAGGGCTTCTTCTCGTCTGGGAAGAGRGGAATGAGGTCTCGTAGTCTATCGATGTTTGCGTTTAGAATTTGAACTCTATTCCTCTCTCTTGTGTTGGCTAATCGTCTTTGCCTACTGACGCCTGTCAACCGTGGTCCTCTTCTTTTCATTTTTTTCTTTCCTTTGTCYTGTGGAAGCGTTTTCCCGTGAACTTTATCCATGAGTGTTTGTGAGGTTGGTCTCTGCAGCGCGTGCAGTGTTCAGTTGGCTGGATGATTGCACTCTGATTATCGCGATAGGTCGACAACCACCTACATAAGCTTGCCACACTCAGTTACCCACGAGCGGCGATGACAATGGGTGGATCTGATTTCCGTGTCTCTCAGCCGTCAGGAGATATATAAACCAAAGCCAGTCTAATCAGATCGTTATGGCTTCAGCAGTTGAAAAACATCTTTCTAGTTTRTGGTCCGAGACAAATTGAGATCAACACTGGAGCTTTGGTTGTGTAAATACAACAACTATGGGAGCTTTTTGTCCTACATTAAGTGTATCTTTTAGATTCCTCAACTAGTACAATAAGTTGTTTTGTTGTTTAATAAAGTTCATCTAAGCTGTAATTGATGGCTTCTTAACCTCTTCAGTATGTTTACAAAGCGCGGAGTTCATTACYGACCAAGAACAGGAAACCTCTCTTTTTGYGGCTGTACGTCTAGCATAGCGTACTCTTGTATGCGTGRTGTGGTTCATGTAGAGTTTTTTCTTGAAGTTTAGCGTTAATASTACAGGTATTCGTGGTATTTTGTTTTATTTTAGCTTGCGTGCGTCTWGTTGATAGGCATCGTTCAAATCCACAAAGCGTCTGTACACCGTCTGATGGTCCGTCAATACCTGCCATCGAACACATCAAAACGATGCTGTAATATTCAATAGGCTTTCTAAACATACTCTCATCTGTCTATTGTGAGCCGATCAACATATGGAGGCCATTAAATCAAAGCTTACTGTGTTTTAAACCGATGCAGACATGCGAAATACATTCTTGTTAACTTCTTGAAATGTACATTAGCAGTCATTTGAGGACGATGACAAGTTCAAACGATTCAGTGCGGCGAGGTATAAACGAGCAATTGATACGATGTTGAATAGCAATTACATTGTTTGAGATCAAACAATGATTCGAGATTACATTCGCTACAAAAACAAACTGTTTTCGACGAGTTGTTTARAACAAGATTCACTAATAAGCTCATATTTAAAATCTGGAATCAATAAGGAACTTAACAATGGAATCATGTCCGGTGTCAAGTGATCATTTATAATGATGGGTCTTACACGCCACGCTCCTAAACATCGGGTGTGGCACGTCGAAGATCGCACAACGGAAAAAAAACCCGCTTGTATGCTAAACAACTTACTACAGTCAAAAATCGGGCGAATTTTGAAGCCAGAAGAGTAAGTTTCTTAACGCGACCCAAAAAATGATTTTCGTGACTAGAGCCGAAGACTTCAGTGCTCGTTGCAGCATAAATAGGCAATAAATCGAACGCTTCACCTTAGTAATCGAAAATGAGARGGTGTTTTTAGTGAAACGTCGCCCAGAAGAGGTAGTTTTCTTCACAGACGCATCGTTACCAAAAGGCGCATTGTTTTTGGTGATTATATGACGACTAACAAAAGGTTTTTCTCATTTAACATAAGCATGCCATCAAGATAGCACTTCACCTTTAACCACGCATCTTATAGCTTAATTAAAAGTCTGTGCTTATCGTGTTGGTATCGTCTAAACCAATTACATGAAGAAACGAAATGGTTGCCTTGAAAAAAACACTTGTGCAGTATGAATGTGTGCGAGAGTTCTTGGCAATTTAAACGTGTCTTTATACAAGTTAATTGTCATGCGTTTATTGATCGATTATATCATAATTATGCATGTTTAGCGTTCCCATGGTAGCACCCAGGGTGYTGTCTGACCTAATAAAAGTCTCATATTGTGAAAATTCCATTTGACTTTTTTTTTACGTAGGTGAACCAGAAAAATACCAATTAGGAACATGTTTTTTTGATCGACTTTAAAGTTTTATCAGAGTGTGTTTGAACCGGCTTGACACGTGGACGCGTGCCTACCTCTACAAGAYGAAAGCTTGGCTTGGCGACCTGCAATTCAATAGTTAGAGGCAGTATCAGTGACGGCACGCGTACTGCCTACATCCGTTTTAAGATCGAACTGTCTCAGTAGARCAGTGATAGCTAGGACGTTGTAATTGTGAAATCTTAAGCGACGCTGCCCATCAAGTAAAGTGCTTTGATCACCCCTTGTGATTCTTGTGAAAAGTTTACTGTCTGATTCTAGAAAGTTCACCAATGCATTGATTTAATTATTCTCATTGGAAAAAAACAACTACTTTTCCGACAGACATTTTTGATTTGTTTTTTAATRTTCTACGAGCTAAAGCAAGCAATTAATGCAAACAACTGTCTCGCAGACACACCYAGACTAGAACATACTGTCAAAGTGAAACAGTAATTGCGCAAGCTCACATATATCTCAAGTGTATCKTTTAGACAATTGAATAATTGTTTCCACTATGATAAACGATTCCAGTAGACATTATTCACTAGAACGCTAAACCTCGTAAATTCGAAGCAGTCTTCGCTRAACCCCCTGCAGTTACCTCACGCGGTTGTTAAAAGCCCCCAAAGGCCACCCTCATATCTAAGGAGTATTTTCAAAGCGTAAAGCTCTAATGCTTCATGTTTAGTTTGTGCATATTAGGCAACACAGTTRAACAGAAATCGTATCTACATTCAGATCGRTTGATTTTGGCTTAGCAGGCAAACTGACAGATTTGGAAGCTTCTGCAGCGCCGGGTCTTTTGACTCAATCTTCGGCCTTCGTCTAGTCGTAAGAACGTGCCTATGGCCATTATTAGATTGGCCAGATTTCAATTATCTGGAGTYGTGGCTGTAGTTTCATGCCTCGTGAAGCTACATTCTGCAATTAATTACMATACATGTTTAGATAGGGGCTATCTTTGAGATATTTACACCAATCAAATAGTGAAGTTGTTCAATATGTCGCATTCTTAGAGGTTTTTAATGCTGTTGATAATAGCGGCACGAGTTTGTTGGCCTCTTCCCAAATTAGTCATGCTGTGGTTTAGAAACGTTTGTAGTCCTTGAGTGTTTGTAGTTTATCKTATTAGACTTGTGCATTGGTCAGTGATGAACTAGATTGCAAACACGAGGAAATCCACGAGTTTTGTACACTTTACAGTCCTCACAGAGAGATAGAAGAATTCTGACCTTTTTGCTTGTTTTTTTTTCGGAGTATGCTTGTTTTTTTTCGGAGTATTTTGGAATGGTCTTTTCTTTTCCTCCTTCTTTTGAGTACATTTTTCAGATCGTGGCCAATATATCACTCGAATCAGTTCGTTATTACTATTTTTTGTGAGAGAGCTATGTATATCACTGGAAAAAATCGCGCGCCATAAAGGTTGTAAATTTGATGGAAATATGATGTAAGTGTCCAAAATGATGGAAATTTGATGGAAATGATTTACATCAAATTTACATCATTTTGGACAATTCTACATCATATATACATCAAATTTACAACCTTTAAAGCGCGCGATTTTTTCCAGTGTATATGACTTTATGCGCCGTCTTTGCGCACTTTTCGTTCTTTTCATTTTTTTTTTTGTATTTTGTATTTTTATTTTCTGACAGTTCTGTCCGCAATATTGTTGACTAGTCTTTTCGGTCGATCTGTCGAGGCAATTGTCGGATGCTCAATATAATGCCCAAGTCCTCCTTTTCTGTTCCTGATATTTTGATCTTAATTTTGGTAAACTGTATCTAGAGTGAAAATACCGCACATCATCGTACAAACACAAAATTACTTGCTCCCATTTGACGCGTGAATCCATATAAATAAAGAACCAGCTCAACTGACAGCATCCCCCTCCCCCCTCCCCCTACAAAGGATGAAAAAGCGTCGTTCGCTGGACCACTTAACCCACCTTTCGGACAGCTCCCTATGAAGTGAGGCTCATATTGTACACCTTTGATAAGCTTAAACTATGCTCTAATTCCTCTACAATTAGCTGTAAGTTATTGAACAAATGTCACTGAATGGGTTTTTACCTAGATCGATGTTTAAAAGTATTCTACAAATACTTGCGTTTAACCTTAGTCTGCTACTGCCCTAGGGAATAGCTGTGCCTTATGCTTGAAAAAGATCATACTTAGAGGGGGTACTGCATGTTGACAGAAAAACTTTTGCATCGTATGGCTGTAGTTTAAGGGTAAAATGTTATGTAGTTCCTTCATGTTGTATTTATTTTGTCGTCATGCACAATGTCATTATAGTTTATTCGGATAAGTTTTCCAATTCTAGGTATCTGATGATTTGAATGGTTGATGGAAAAGTAAAAACAACGCCTCATCCGAACTAGCGATGTAACTAGTGTCACCACTGAAAACGCCCAGGGGCTTCACATTGAAATATCAAATTGTCTCCGTACTATACTCATCGATGCTTCAAATATAAGTCCTAAGAGAGGRCTAAAATGTCGAAGTAGTACTGCTGGTCCCACTTACACAATTAGAAGGAATTCATTTTTGCCATTTTGAAATTTAGTCTTTTCCATATAATAATCAATGTAGTAGTAGAGAAGGAACGGTAATCGTTTTAATTATTACAATAGAATGTTCGATAGAATGTTAAAGACTTTAATAGTTTCTATTTTTACGTGTAAAATGGTATACGATGCTAATTTTTGGGATTCCATTTTGGCACGGCAGTCGCCATTTTTATCGCAGATTCCGAGTAGCTCTTGTAAGCGCTTTGCGATTATCTTTGCGATCAACACGAACAATAAAAGTTCGAAGAAAATAAGACGATATCATATCCCGATAAAAAAATCGGTGAATTGAAGTTTCTTTCCCTAATTCCTTTCTTTTGTTGTAGTCTATTTTTTTTTTTTCATTTTCGGAATTCTCTCTTTGTTTCTCCACATCGATTTTTTACTGTTCATTTGTAGTTAAACATCGATCTACAAGCTACAATCTAAAAATCACACGAAATAGAATCAATAGAAGTCTTTTATTTCCTCATTTTTTCAGCGCGGGTTCGTTTTTATAAAATTACAAAGAAGTATAAAATCATTCTTATCTCGTCCGCGCATTAAAAAAATACTCACAAATATCGTAACAAATATTGTTTTCCATGCCAAAGGACTGTACATGAATGTCATTATAATATGTCATTGTAATATCGAACTATTTTCCTTAACTATCGCTATCTTGTAGTCTAGCTACATTAATATATAGATCATACAATCGTAACCTTTTCATACAATACTGAGTTCCAGCCAAATTAAAACGTATCTAAATTTCAACGTCTCATTGCAAGACAGATATATTGTACTTTTATAATGATTGTTAAAAACAGTAGATTTCAAAATCGGACCATTTTGAAAACAGAAGGTCACGGATAGTGCGCAAACCTACGGATTTTCAATTCTGCGAAAAATGAAAGCTGTCCGCTTATGTCATTGTAAAAAACAGCTCTGCCGAAATATCTGCCAACTAAGTCGTGGCTTTAAATTAATTATYTTATTTTGTTTATACTATTGAAGGCAACCGCCCGCAGTGCCTATATTTTGCTRCAATCCTTTGATTTAAATACATATTGTAATTATAGCCTGCATTTTTCATAACAAGTCTGTCTTGATAGCTTCTCAAAGCTCGTTCTGCATGGGGTCGCACCAGAAAAAGTCGAGCAGCTCTGGGGGAAAAAAAGAGGCAAAAATTCAGTTGATCGATTTAGCTTAACTCTTGGTCTTTCCTGCCTTTTTGATATCTAGCTCACTTWGGAATTTTGGCTAAAACGGCATATATGTATATACCATTTTTGAAAATCCCGTCTATAATGAATTATAATTACTTAATCTCGATAAAATGTGCTCTCTAGTTAATGCCCAACTAATGATTAAGAAATGCACCTGTTTAACACATTGAGTCTTAATAATATATAAAACAATTATAATTACCTCCGGGATCAGAAAAGGGGTCAAAACTGAATGTGGGGAAGGTTAAGTCGTCAAATGCACAGCAGTCAAAGTCCAGCGCTGTCTTTTCTGTTGTGTTCARTAGCTCTGTCATGTGAGAAATATATAGCGCAGCAATTCTTATAGTTTCTGTTTTGGATGGTTTCTCGTCTGGGAATAAGGGAATGATATCTTTGAGGCGGTCGATGTTGGCATTTAACGTATGCACCCTTGTTCGTTCCCGTGCGTTAGCCAGCCGTCTTTGTTTACTGACTCCTGTAAGACGAGGACCCCTTCTTTTTGCTTTCTTTTTGTTTTTCTTTCTCTCGTGGAGTATTTCGGGTGAGGCAATATCCATGGCAGCGGCTATGGTCGTCTGTAGAGATGCAGTGAGTGCAAGACCTTAAATCTAAAAAAAATCCCGTTCACCYAGCCAGCATTTATCAATAACGGCTCGCCCACGTCACAGCCCCTAAAAGACTTTATCATGAGGTCACATCGTTGTAACAGCCCCACCACATACACTTGTCAAAAGCTTTTCAAATTACAGATAATCTTCAAAGCTCTTTATTTATTCGACTCCTCAGTCACCGAAATATCTTATGCAAACAGATCGCTTGAATGGTTTGTTTATTAATCAGATTTTGTAGCCACTGTACATGCTTAACAGAAGTGCTAAGTAAACAACATATGACCAAAATATATCTACGGTTGAGGGCAATTATCTTGGGGTTACTAATACAAAACGTACGATACCAAATGCATTTATTATTGAACTTGTCATCATCAATTCAGGTAGATTCGCTTGGAACCGGTCTTACTTTCCTTGGTTTTAACATGGGAGACTTTAAAAGCTGCTAAAAGATTCCTCAATACTTTGATTTTATTTCCTTTTAAACGCTTTAGGCAAGAGGAACTTTAATTTAGAACATGCAGGGGCCATTGATATTTTTAGGTTACGTCTTACCTCAGGATAACTTGTCTAATTCGAGGTAAATTTGCATTACAAAGGTTCGTTGCTGTTTAGATTGAAATGCTGTATCTGCSGTATTCCGTTTCTTGCCACATTAAGAACAGCTCTTCTCAATAACTCGAAATCGTTTTAAAATAATGAGCAACATTGTATCTGTAGTTGTGAAAGAAATTTAAATTCATTTTTTTTATACGAGCTTTAAAACACTTCCAATGAAATGACATTGTCAGGAATCTTTCTGATAAAATGCCTTCATGTGAACTGATACACTTTGAACAAAAAGGGACGTCGGATCGTGAAAAATGCGATATACTCTACTACATCTTTCAACTGTTTATTCGTAAGCATATACACACTATATATTTCTTTTTATAATATTACTGTTCTATGCGCTTTTTGGATTAAAGTCATCATTTGTTTTCATTTCATCGCAAGGATAATATTATTTTTGGTACCACCTGTACTTCATTTGGAGTAGTGATCTAAATATAATACAAATTGCTATCTCGACTTCTGAAAGGGTCATGGCATTGTTAACAAGCTAACAAAAAACAGCAAAGATCGAAAAAAAAGGCTAAGTACTTCTTTAATTTGTTAATTAATTGCTCAAACCACCATCCAGCATTGAACTATCATCAAGGCTCGTGTCAACACGCGACTCTATCGAGTAATACACTGCGGCATCTTTATAATCCATTTGTGGGCGACTGCTGTACATTTAGGTTGCGTCCACGTGTATCCGGATTTTTTTCAAAACCGCATATTTTTCCATTCGTTTGGCGCGTTTGGCTATCGTTTACACAAAGCCACCGAAAACCATGACCACCGTGTCGCTTGATAATTTTGAGAACGCGTTTAGAAAACAACGATTAAACGCGATTAAAAATATCCCATTTATTTGATACTTACCCTCGTGTATGGAAATCCCTGTAGTGTGTRTTAAAAATCTGCACTAGAACCAGCCGCATTAGCAGGCGGGATCGAGAACGCGTACGACCTCCATATATGGCTTTCATTCATGTAGATGTACACAAAACGCATGTATACATATTATGTGGAGAAAACTTACAAGATTTTCAAAGACTTGAACTGAAAAGAAATGTTTAACGGAGAACATGAAGATTCGAACTCAGCACTAACCCTATATTTCCATAGACCATGTAGCAATGAGAGAATTTGGTTCAATGACCAGATTTTCGGGAACTTTAGATAACGGCAACATTTTAAATGAACAATCACGTGTATGTACATAAGCCATTGTATACATAATTAATTAATCTTCTCTTGGAATATTGTATTCTTTGTACTCTTGGGCTTCCTGTTTTTCTCAATATGCACCTAGGGAGACTGTAACCGAGTAGAAAAATGAAAGAGGGAGACCAGTAACCCCTTGTTTTGTTAGCAGAGACCAAGGCCCGGCCCCCGGCAAAGAGATTCAAAGCGAGTCGATCGATCCAAAAAGGAAAACCGGTTTTCCCGGCTATATTTAAGCACAGCCAAAAGAGAAATGCTKGATAGCCCAACATGCATAATATAACAATATTAGGAGATCCACCATTTTGTTTTTTGGATGTTTTATAATGTGAGCTGTTTAGTGTTGGATCAATGATTTGATCGTTTGATGTTGGATGGGGGTCGAGTTCTATAACTGCTCATTATGCAGCGACGCCATATTGTACAACAAAGCATGATAAGAGTTTTATTTCCTGCTCTTTTATAGCGTATAAAAAAACCTCAAAAGTCGTTTTTATGTTTCCGTAGTAGGAACAGCACAACGCAGCGAATCGGGCATTCTCTATTTGCATGTGTAAAATCGATTCACCACCAAAGAAGAGATCGATAAAGATCAATATAGCTGATAATCTCGAARGACTTGAAATTAGTCAGCTATCGCTAAAAACAGTTGTGTTAATTGCATGTAACTGCTGTATTTTCTGTTGTTATCACTTGGGAGGGACGTAACCACAATACCGCACGACATGACGACATGACGACGTAAGCAAACCATGACTCTTTTTGACGAAATGCAGTTGTCACTACATAGCATGCATGTAAGCAAGACGCTCCTAGGGAGATTGGGCCGGAGGAAAGATAGAACAAACAAAAGTTTTTGTTAATATCGAAGATTATTTGTCAGTACTGATAAAGCATTGGAAATTTGCAACTACGAGAATGCTTTGTTCGCGTTATATTGTAAAGTCTAGGTGGTTTGACTTCTAAAGTAAATACTTAGAGCATATGTATAGCACTCTAGTAGCTCTAGGACCACAGGCGGAGGCTAGGGGGAGAGGGAGGGGGACATTTAATTACGTTTATCAAATTATAAAATCCTCCCTACGCTACTATGACCCTACTATGTAGAACGCCATCTTTAAAATGATATGATAATGAGTAATCTAAGTCCAGGCTGGTTTCCCTGTGTTAATTCTACGTCATCATCAATAACACAGGAAAACCGCAATGMTCTCCTGGTTAGCTCTAMTAAASGTCGTCTAGACGTCWAGTTGTATGGGTTTTGCGCTTGTAAATCGATTCTGTTGGCTTGTAGACGCTTGTGTTTAYGTGATGYGTATATCATAAAATCCCTGTGGAGTATCGTTATGTGGCAAARAATAACAACGCGAGTATTTGTAAAACATTTTTAATCATCAGCATATCAAATATACAGTCAGCTTTAATTAAGTTAAATGAGTTTTCTACATTGGAGAATTTCATTCTCATTAATTGAGGTCCTTTCATTGAAAGATAGCTGATATTCCAACAATTTTACAATTTTAATAATGGCGTCATCAATTACTATGCACAAAACGATTTCTTGGCTGATTTATCAAATGTTKCTTGACCTTAAAAATATTGTCATAAATATTATTTTAATCTAGTCCAAAAAGGTCGTAAATTGATAAGACCAACAATAAG